GGCCGTATCGGCAAGAGAAACTGGAGATGGAGCAGCTAGTCTAAAGGCCGTCAAGTCATTTCCCCAACCCCCTTCTCTCCCTACCGCTCCCTCCGTTACCTTTTCAGCTGTACGCCCCAAATCTTTCTTTCATTCTCTTGCACCTTCTACTCCATATTCGTCTCTGTCAAATTATATGTCTCCAAACAATTCGACTGACTCAGAAGATCACACGCTGCCGACGGCAAATCGCACTCAGATGTATGTGTTCGCCTACGCTTCTCCATCGGATTCTTGGACTCGCCTCCTCGGAGTCTACTCTGGCGCCGAGCTTGTCTACTTCTTTGGGCTGCCCAGGCTCGCCGAGTACAAGACCCCCGAAGAGCTGATTCTTGAGTGGCCGCGGGACTTGGGCCTGGAACCCCCTTCATCTGCGGTAGAAGCACCGCCCCAAATGTCCTCCACTAATTCTTCTCGGCAAGCACCAGAATCGAGGTCAAGTCCATCAGGGCACAGGTCCATCTATTCCGAAATGGACATCAAAATGACCGATCTTATGCTCTCACTAATCGTCAACTTTGCACGAAGTGGCAACGCTACTCCTCAAGTGATTTACAACGTCACTTGGGACACTTATCGGCCTGACAACCGCACTTACTTATGGCTCAACTTGACTCAGGTGATACCATCGCAGCCTATAAGGCAGCCAGCTTGCCGCTTCTTGCAAACTAAAAATCTAACACACGAGCTCAGGATGTTCCAAAACTATCGAACCTATCGGTTGGCTTTCTGGAGTCAGCTTTACCCTCGGCTGTTGGCCAGGTGGCCGATGTTCACGACATTGGGACCAACCCCGGCCTACTTGGAGACTTATCGGCAAGCCAGCTTCTCGATGGCCAGCGCACTGGGCATCTGTTTACTTGTACTAGTTGCTCTGCTTTGGGTCTACACACGTCGACTTAAAATGTTGGTAAAATGAGGTCGATGAGCTGTAGCACGAGGTAATTACATCAGAGTGGAATCGGTGGTGTTCAGAACCGACCAAATAATGAAGAACATGATCTAGTCATGGCTGCGTATCAGTAGGTCATTCTTCGGAAAGCATGTAGCAATTGAACTAAGATTTGGTGACGGAAATAAGAAACCGAGGAGGTTAAAATGAAATGTATCAATATGACTGATAATGGAAGTAAAATCAGTTTTCTTGGAGGTCAGGAAAAATGTCTGCTTACTTTTTTTAACTCTATAAATTATGACTTTGAATAAAATTTCTTTGTTATTTTCTGCTCCAGCAAAGCCTCGGCTGGATATTTCGTCCTTCTATAATGACTAAATTTCTGATTCAAAATGAATATTATTTTGTAAGGTCCCTCCTTTATCTCTTTCTAAGTATATTTTAAATCGTAGTAGAAAAACAACCTCTTATTTTTCCTAACATTAAGAAATTCTCGATGACACTAGATTAGATAAATTATGTCCAAACATGTCAGGTATAATTTAGAGCCTTTTTTATATAACTAAAGCATAATAAGTGAAGAGACAATAATTAATTGAGCTTATTCTGTCTGATACGTCATAAGCTAATTCCGTTAAATTAGAAATAGGGGGTAATGGAGAGGTTCAATCTATTTTTAACGCATTTAAAACAATTTAACATT